AACATCACAGAACCACTAGGGGAGGACCTACAAATTGGTATGTCAATGAAAGAGCCAGGAAAATGCGGAACTACACAGAGACCCCTATGGAGAGTGAGTTCAATAGCTGACCCCATATTCAAATCCAGTTTATATATCCAATACTTTAGAGAGTTTCGGGCAATGTACTAGACTTGCTCAATGCTAGTGACTGTTCACTTGACTCTTCTGTTGGGTTACACATTACTTAAATCAAATAAACCGATCAAGTGATCTTCCACCTGCCTTCATTAATTTCAAAAAAAAAACTAAAATTTTCTAAACCCAAATTTGAGCTGAAAAGTGAAATTTTCTGTGTGGATCACAAAATACGTAGTTAATAATTGTTGCAAATTTGGAGACGTTGCAATGACTTTCAAAAGAGAAATCATGAAAAAACCGTTTGTTCATAAATTTCTGGCCACTACTGTATAATGCGACAAGTCTCTCTTTCTGCCTGTCTGTCTGTCGCTCCGTCTGTCACGAAATTCGTATTAAGCGAACAACAACCTACTGGGACCAGGTCAAGTTTGCGATGGGTGTACCACATCTCGAGAAGCAAAAAACGTACATTACCTAAGCGGAGCCCCACTCACAGTGGGCGTGGCCTGCATCGAAATGAGTGGTACTGAGGACTACGACTTCAAATTAGAACCTGTCGTGAAGTAGAAGAAGAGCCTGTTGTGAAGTAGACGACGTTTCCTACAAGGGCTCATAAATCGGCTCCGAGACGACTTAGAAACCGGAAAACAGTGGATAGAGGTTTGGAGAGGAGGAGAAGCTGAACGTTAGGGCTGGGCGTGGATTACAACAAGGTGGGCGGAGTTCGCATCCAGCATCATAACTCGGTTCCTAGAAGTCCCGGAGTCGGGAACAAAGCAGAGGGAGAGGGGTCAACTGCTGTTGGCAGGCGGAGCATGCGCTATAGTGGGCGGAGTTTGCCACAAAACTTCATAACTCGATTCCAATAAGTTCCGGAAATGGGAAAAAGTAGAAAGAGCTTGGGGATGATAGTCAATTGATATCGGTGCGTGAGGCATGCACCAAAGTGGGTGGGGTTTGCCACAAAGATTCGTAGCTCGATATTGTCTTCTTCAAAACCTCATAATTCGGCTCGAGATGACTTAGAGACCTGAAAAAATGTGCATAGAGGTGAGAGGAGAAGTAGTGGTTGAATATGAACGCTGGGCATGGCACACCACGAAGTGGGCGGGGTTCGCCACCACTCTCATAACGCGGTTCCTAAAAGTCTAGGTAACCGGGGAAAATGGGGATAAGGGTTGACGGTGGAAAAGGTGTTAAATGCTATTGGCGTGCTAAGCTTGCACCGAAGCGGGCGGAGTTCGCCACAAAAACTCATGACTCATAACTTCTTCTACAAGACCTCATAATTCTGCTCCGAGATGACTTAGAGACCTAAAAAATGTGTATAGATTAGGAGTAGAGGTTTAGTCTGAAGGCTGGGCGTGGCACACCCCGGAGTGGACGCAGTTTGCTACCACTCTTTTACTCGGTTCGTAGAAGTCCCAGCGACCGAAAAAAGTAAGTAAGGGTTAGCGGAGGGAATTGGGTCAATCGCTTTCGTTGGGCGGAACATGCCCGAAAGACGGAGTTTACGAAATTAATAATTAGGTTCTACTACAAGACCTCACCGGTGACCGGGAAAGAAATTTATTGAAGTTAGAGAAGGGAGGCTTGAAAGCTGTTAGGGCAAGGGTCACCGGAGTGAGCGGAAATTCCTACTCGCCGTCATAACTCAACATACTGACGACCCTTAGTAGAGGAAATCATTGCACAGAAGCTAGCAGTGAGGAGGGTGAAATGCGATTAGTGCATCGAAGTGGTTAACGAAGATCCACTATGGCATTATCGAATATTGGTAGTGTATCGAACCAAGTTTGAAAATTTAAGCCGTTCCAATCCACATCGCCGCAGAACTGTGTGATGCACGCGAATGCGTGCGCAGCTAAACTGGTATCCTACTCACTATAAAGCGTCTGTCGTCTGTCTGTCGTCTATATGTCTGTCACGAAATTCAATAGCTCCTGGAGATTCACTGAGAGAGACCGGGTAAAATGTGGGATAGATGGCCCAGGTCTAGATATGCATTAGATTGGAAAGAAAGTTCTGCAACACTCTTTCCAAAATTTTCTTTTTTTCTGAAAAATTTATAGGTAACATTTATGACTACCAAATGATAGAGCATTCTCAAGGCTTCAATCCACGAGGTGGATATAAGTTCTGCAGTGAGTAGGTATCCAAGAAAATTCAAAAACTCTCGACCACTAGCAAATCCGTATTCCGAGTCACTGTCTAGTACAAATGTCTACAAAACTATGGATGCGTGTCAACGACTGACACTATCTGCAATGGCATCTGATATCATGCCGTTCAGCGATACAGCGTGTTTCACCTTTACCAGCGCTTCCGATCTTTTGATATTTTTATAAGAAGCCAGCAGCATCCCTCACACTCCATTACAGGTAGGGCTCTTACAGAAGCTCCACTGAGAACCCTTCGTTATGGGCACCATTGTGTAGGCAGTGGCCTAGGTTGTGGAGTATCAGAAGCTGGCCGAGGTAGCTCGTCAAGAGCCCTCGTACCGTGACAATATTCATTTCTTTCATGACATTTGTAATCACCATGATCCGAAATGAGCCCGGTAAGAATCTGGAGTTGCGGGCAAGATTTCTTTCCTCTCTAGCGTAATCCCCTGGTCGAGGTGTAAATAAGTGCTACCTATCCTGGACTTTTTAATCATCATCTTTATAACGAAATAATCAGACGATCAACTCCAACTCGAAAGTGAGGTCGCCTGGTCGTTTTCTCGACTCGCACTCCGCTGGGTTTTGGCGGAGGAGGATCAAGAAATTTCTGAGCGATGGAGACAAGTGGTGGACACTCACGGTAGATATAAGACCGGTCAGAAGTTGTAACCAAAAAGATAAAATCAAAAATTTGAAAAAGTGTTGCAGGACTTTCTTTCCAACCTAATATAAAACACACATTAGCTAAGCGGAGCCTCCCCACAGTGGGCGTGGCGTGCGTCGACATGAAGCGTATTGACGACCGAAATTTCCAATTCTCTTAGAAAACGACCTTGAAGTTGGGCCAAAAGTGGGTAAAGGTGTGCATTTGTAACTCACATAGAATTAGAGAGACTCATCCCGGTGGGTGGAGCGTTCTCCAAAAAAGCAGTGCTTCATGAAAAATTGCATAACCCAGGGGAGAAAGCCTACAGCGCAGAAAACGAGTTGGTGTAGGTGAGCAATGTCTGAGGTGTTCCCAGCAAATATGACGCGGGCGGAGGTCTGCCCACAATGGGTGGAGCGCGCTCTAAAGTGTACGGCATTTTCTACAAGTCCTCACTGTTGCGGATCGGTGACCGTGGGGTGGAAGCGCACGTAGCCTAAGAAGGAACGCGTGAGCCTGCTAAGCGCTGCACCCTTTGAGGACTTACTACTGACAGCTGAACTGAAGACTGACGCACCAGTTAACACCTACCGCGTCCACTCCTTTAGCCCTTCTTCTTCTTCTTCTCCCTAGCGTTAGGCCCGCGCCGTCGCAGGGTCCGCTGTCCTTATCAGTCGTCGCCACTTTGCTCTATCCAGGGCATCCCCTGTAGTGGCCATGATTTCGCTTAGATCCTTCCTGATTACATCCTTCCACCTCTTCTTTGGGGCTCCTCGCGGTCGCTTGCCTTGCGCTTCGAAGTCTATTGCATTCCTTATTGGGTGGCCCTGTGGTCTTCTTAGCACATGTCCATACCACCGCAGTCGCTGCTCCCTCACCTTCAGCTGAACAGGGGCAGTCTGCACGACCGTTCTGACATCCTCGTTCCTGACCCTGTCCAGTCGCGTCCAGCCGCAGGCCCATCTCAGCATCCTCATTTCGGCCGAGAGAAGCTGTCTTTCGTGGTTCTTGCTCAGGGGCCAGCACTCCCTGCCGTATAGCATGGCCTGACTACTGTTCGATACACCTTCCCTTTGAGCGTTCTGGAGCATCTTTGATCACAGAGGATTCCAGTGGATTCTCTCCATTTCATCCATGCCGCGTTGATCCTCCCCTTTACTGCCTGGTCCACACTGCCGTCGGCTGCCAGATCACTCCCAAGGTATCGGAAGTCCTCCACTCTTTCGATGCTTTCGCCATGCCCGTCCACGATCGGCTCTGCACTCTCCTCAGAACTCAGGAACCTGGTCTTCTTGACATTCAACCGGAGCCCGCCTCCTGCCAGGACATTCTGCCATTTCTGCACCTTGGCTTGAAGTTCCTCCCTGCTATTCGCTATCAGGGCGAGGTCGTCAGCGTAGAGGATGGTCTTTAGTGGTCCTTCTATGAGCCCCTTCACCATCACATCTACATAGTGTTAGGAGGAAGAAGAACGGACTCAGAGCTGACCCTTGATGCACCCCAACCGTGATGTTTACCTCTTTTGTTAGGCCATGTGGGGTGCGTATGGCTGCTAAGAACCATTGGCCGATGGCCGCAAAAGAAGCGAAAGAATGTATAGTATTTAAGTTGGTCCCCTGACTAGTCTGATGGAAGAGGCACGCTAACCTACTAAAACTCAATAAGTGTGTTAGTACTCAATAAAACGTTACTTTGCAAGAAGGTAATAACTGTACTGACTACTTTATACATAAAACTTTCTAAGATAAAACGGGTTAGTGTACGACAACAAAGTACAAATAAAACGCGAATGTAATGGGTTAGTGACAACAAAAGAAACTACTGAACTAAGGAGATCACTGCCGTAAAAAGCCGACGTAATGTGCCACACCGTCCACGAGGGCACGGCGCATCTGAACGGAACGAAAGTAAACACCGGAAGTAACGACAAAAAACAAAAGAAACTCAGGAGTGAAATACTGAAGTGGAGAGAGCCGTAAAGCGCTGTCGTGGAGGCATCGATGTAGGCGTACAGGTTGATCGAATACGACGAAACCTAAACGAACAAGAATTAGAGCTGAAATAACTACACTAAGGGAAAGAAACTCAGGATCGGGATCCTGAAGTGAACTGATGCCGTAAAACATCGACATAGAGGTAACGTCGTAGACGAATCGGCGGACACGAACAGACCTGAAATGAGACAACAAATAAACACTTGGAAAAGACGAGGAATAAGAAATAAACTCAGGGATAATCCTGAGACAAATCTTCGCCGTAAAACTCCGACATAAAGATCAGTCGTAAGACACCGACAGCTATTCCGTCTAACAGATCACCTAAACAATCGATAGTAATTTCGCTCTAGTCAATTACCGCTTACCAGCTAATCTTTGTCGTAATCTTCGGTCGTAAATCTCTCCGATGATGATATTGGCAAATGAGTGGAAAGGTGAACTACTGAACTATCGCATGTTGATATGGGTGAACTAATGTTGAATTTGAGAATCATAAACTATTGGGGCATTGTAGGAGTGATGAACTATCGTCGTAGCGTCGTAAGTTCAAAGATGAGCTATCGATGGACTGAGAATGAATCGACCAACTGAACTATTGTGAAGGTGGATCGTGGTTCAGCGTCCGGCAACACAAGAAGATAGGCCTGTGGCCAAAGATCTGCTGTACTAAAACATTCTAATCAAAACTGACTAGATCTCATGAATGAATGATTCACTGAAAGTGGTACCTGTACTACCGCGATTAAAGACTTGCTTCTGCTCAAGTATAGGCTCGTGGACTATCACTGCTGTTTGAGCGATGTACTAGGTTGAGGGTCCACATTCACTAGCATACTGTATTATAATATAAGGGAATGGAATGTACTAAGTGAACTCTTACTGAGTTCCCGTGATGACCGTAGCTAGGATGGACTAAGGAAATTGATTAATGAATGGGTGAGGAAAAGTTGACTTATCGATTGAAAATCAAAACGTAATGATACCTGCTGGACTAATTAAATGAGGTTAGTAATCAATAGAGCGCGCAAATAGAACGAGCAAGGGAGATGAGAAAGATATTAGATCAGTGGGAAGTGAAGGGGTACCGTTATGTAATGATTGTATTATCAAGAACCGAGTAGGAGAATACGATTTTTGAATTTGACTAGAAATGTTAACTGAAGGAAACTGAAGAGGAAGACTTGACTGAGCAAATAGAACAAGTGTTAGTTATCACAAAAGGAAACGAAATGTTGGTGCGGCATAAAGTGAAATTTTCGAAAACGAGCGTCAAAATGAGAAAACATGATTTTCGGATTTGACGACTAGTAATGAAGGAAAAGACTTAAGTAGACTAGAACAGGTGAAGAGATAATAAATTGAGATGATAAAAGATAATAAATTTCTTGAGAAAACTCTACAAGAAATAAGAATAAAGGGCTAAAGTGTTAGTTTGCGAAAGGCGTCGCCTTTTTGACTAGGATGTGAGTTTCCTACTGAGGCGACTAGAGAAGTGCTAAAACGACTACCAAGCTAATGACGATCCGAAAATCGATTAGAAGCTAAAACGATGTTAGTATTGATAGAATTGTGGTCAGTGAAATCGAAAATGGTGAGAATAAATCGACGAGTAAGGTAGTCAACGCGCGAACACGGAAATGAGAATTTCTGATTTTCGTAATGCTGACGTTGGCGCGCGGTTTACTGTACTAGATCGCCTCGGCATCTATCCCGATTTGACCTCTCGCTGCCTTTAGCTACAATACTCTATTGCGTGTTAGTAGGTCATGTTACTTTAATTGCAGTGTTAGTATGGCGCCGAAAGATTAATACATTTATTTGTGCTATCAAGAAGAGTGAAGAACTGAACTACTGGGTTAGTACCGAAATGAAAAAAGGAGGGTTAGTTGATGAATGAACTATTCGAGGAAGTAATTGAGATAGACATAAAGAATCTTAGTATGTTGTCGTAATCTGTTAGTATACTTGTAACAAAAACAAAAAATTGAACTTACCTGGGAGTTCTTCTTTTCACTCTTCTGTACGGCTGGATTCGTTTCAGATGCTCGACTCGTTTTTGCTTCGCCATAATTGCTTTATCTTCTGTCGAAACTTCCAGTGGGATCAATTGGTTGATCGAACGATCTGAAAATTTATTAACATCAGTCTTCACATTCACAGAACGAGTAAACCCGTCAACGGATTCGTTGGTCTGTACTATGAGGCCGAGTGGCCATAACGACTGCGAGACGTTTTCTTGTTTTATTGGTACAACATCTCTGACTCTTAGACTACTCTTCAAACCTTGCTTTTGTGGATGTTTTTTTGATTCCGCTCAGCAAGATTCGTGCGATTATCTTAACGCCGAACGTTTTTAAGGCGTCTTGGAGTGCCGTGTATGACTGTATTAATTCTCCGTGCGAGTCGGAAATGTTAGTACTGTCGATTGACCCCATATTAGATGGCGTGAAGTAAGGGTTGATGAGGTCAATCGGTCGTAGTACAAATCCCGAATCTGTTGAACTAGTCACCACTGGAGTAATTGGGCGAGTGTTAAGAGTCGCCTCTATTTCTGAGATAAGGGTTTGAAGGGTCCGCAGGTCTAGAATTCTTCTTTGAATGGTCTTCCTCAGAGCTGACTTCACCGATCCTACTAACCTCTCGTAGAAGCCTCCTTTCCATGGAGAGAGGGGCGTAATAAACTTCCATTGGAGATTTTGGGATGACGTGGAGTTCTGGAGTACAGGGTGTTCTTTCAGTGCGTGTAACCGTTCACGAGGATTTCTTTTCCTAGCTTGAATGTTGGCGCGTTGTCGCTCAGAACTAGGTTCGGAGCTCCTCTACGTGCCATGAATCTTCTGAATGCTAGGATGAATTGTGGTGCTGAGTTATCCGCTACGACTTCCAGGTGGGGCGCATGTTGCCATGCACGTGAATAGACACACCCATGCCTTTCGATCTTCACTGGACTCTGGTCGAATCAGAAGAGGACCGAAGTAATCTAGATCTGTGTTTTGGAAGGATCTGCTTCGAACTACTATCTGGCTGGGGAGGTCTGGAATTTCGGGTTATGAAAAGGATCTACCCTGGTGTCTTCTGCAGGCGACACACTTCGAGATGACACGGTTCACTACTCTACGAATTCTCGGGATGAGATAGTGATCTCTCAGCTCCGAGATCAAGTGCGGTGCTCCAGCGTGGAATAGTTTCTTATGCTTCTCCGTAACAATAAGTCTCGTCAACGGATGTTTTGGCAGGAGCAAAATTGGAGCCTTGGCGGACTCTTTCATATCTGCGTACACCATACGTCAATTGCCGCGATAGATTCCTTCGTCGTCAAGCGTTATTTGGAGACGTTTGACCGTGCGACCTAGGAGTTGAAGGTGTCCTTCTCAATAGTGTTCCCGAAGGAGAACGATTCCTGCTGCTTTTATGTCGTCTGCAGTGATCGTTGTCGTCTGCGACGCAAGCTAAAGATCCTGGAGTTGGAGTATTGGCTCGACCCCCCATCTTTGCTTTTATGCCAGAGTGTAACTATGTACTTCAGAGCGTAAACTGTAATAGGAAGTAATTTTGAATATGAATTAGTTTTATGAAATGGAATAAATGAACTGTAACCCTCTGATGAAGTAGTTACAGACTTAATTTCTTGCTCTGCTTCTTTCGACGTAATTATTTTTGAGTCAAAATTCATATTGTTAATAGGCCAAGATGTGGATTGAAAATGAAATCCGGCCCATGCCACCACATGTGCTGTACTAGGAGGCTGTCAACCCCCGAGTAGCAAAGTCGGCTGGATTACTGTCTGTATTAACGTAATGGAATTTGTATTTAATGTTCTCTCCTGAGAGTTCGTCCACTACTTCCTCAATGATCTTGACCCGATTATTGACAAACGTTTTTAACTGCTTATTGGAATGAATCCAATAGAGAGCTATCTGTGAATCCGAGAGTATCTGCACTGAATTGAGGGGCACCTGAAGGTGCTTTCGAAGGAAACGAACCAGTTCAGCGGTCGAGACAGAGCCCAGCAATTCAAGTTGTGGAATAGCAGTTTTCTTCATGTCGGCCAACGTGGCCTTGGAGAAGATCACGTTGCTGAAGGGTTCCCCTTTTGCAGATCGACATACTAGGTATGCCACGTGCTGCGTATACACTCTGCGACGCATCCGAAAAAACTACCAAGACTTTTCCTGTGACTGTAATAAAGCGTGGTACGTTTCCGACGAAGCCTTCTTTGCCCTCCGTGATACTCTTCCACTTGGCTACAGTAGACTCATCGAACGGATCATCCCAAGAGTATTTGTTCACCCACAGGTCTTGGATGAACATTTTGGCCTTTATAAAGAGTGGAGTAAGTAGGCCCAAAGGAGCGAAAGTACATGCAAACGATTTTAATGCCGTTCGCTTCGACGTATCTTCTTTCATCGTAGTTTTGACTGGCACAGTTAGTGTGTCGCTGTCCGTATCCCATCGAATTCTTAACAGCTCCACTGTACTACGTGTCTTCTTCATCCTATCTTCCTCTGGGATGGACTGTACTACTTCCTTATTGTTGGACATGAATTCATGCCCATCGAAGAGAGCGTATCCTTGCATTGCTTTCTTTTCCGAATACCTTCTTCGACCGTCTTTGCGCCAATTAGAACATTGTCGATATAGGTATTTGCAAGGATTTCCTCTTGTAACTGTCCACCCCCGTTTCTTTCTAGAGCATATTTTATTGACATGCTGAGTAGGAATGGCAAGGCGTTGACGCCGAAAGGGATACGTGTGAAGCATAGAGTGCGAATGTTGTCTCTTGCGGGTCTCTTGGACGGATCCTTCAACCACAAGGACCTTGTCGCATCCCTCTGATCTTCTTGAAGTCCTATTTGATGGAACGCCTTTTCCACGTCCGCGATAATCAGTATTGAAGTAAGCCTGGCTCGTAGGAGAGTACCGCACAAATCTGGTAGCAATTTCGGCCCTTGGTGTACGCAGTCATTGAGGCTTGGAACACCTTTCATGTGAGTTGAAGCATCGAAGACAATACGCAGTTTTGTTGTTGTATTGTCTTCCTTGATGACTGCTTGATGTGGTATGTAGTACACCCATTTTCCTGTAAACGAATTACCCTTCACATCTTCTATAATTCCCGACTTGAGCTGTTGATCAAATGTTTTGCAGTAGTCTTCCCACAGTTTGGTGCTGTGGTGAAGTTTGTGATACTGACTCTCCAACCTTCGTACTGCAAGTGCTTTGTTGTTGGCCAACGGAGGGTGATTAGATTTCCAAGGGAACTGGATATATGAGACCATTCTCCACCTTGACTGTGTCATAGAAGTGTTGTATTATGCTCGCATCTGAATCGTCAATGTCTTCCTTCGTTCCGACCGACTCCAATCCGAAAAGCTGTTGGACTATTTGGTCTGTCTCTACTGAAGAGCTTTGGTGTTCTTCAGCTGAGTCTCTATCCGACGTTGAATGCACTCTCGATAATGGCGATGATTGATATCCTAACAGGACTGGAACGAGTCTTGTATTTGATTGTACAAGACCCGAAGGGAGTTGGCAGTTTGAATTAAATTCAACGATTTCCCAATAATAGTCCATACCAATCAGGACGTCAACTTCCGTCGATTTTCCATTACCAGTATTGCTGCATTCTCCGTCTTCACTCGTGTCAAGTGAAACTGTAGTAACGGATTTGCGTGTCCACAGGCAGAGTGTTATCGGTCTACCGTTTATTTTGTTACGAAGAACGACCTTGACGCGATACGATTTTTCCGTGTGGGAATGGCCTCCGAATGTAATTGTAGTAATGTCCTGAGGCGTTTCTAGATCGAAGCCCAGATTTTGTGCTGTACCTTCTTTGATGAAACTATGCTGCGAGCCACTGTCGAGGAGCACTGTCATTAGTTGCTCCGTTTTTGTGTAACTTATTGCGCGTTAATGCTCTGGTTATCATGAGACGCTGGTGGATTGAATAGACTCGCTACTTCTTGTTTAGTAGCTTTGGCGTTCCTATTCCGGTTTAGCAACGCTGTTATTTGAGTGGCGCTGACTTCCAGAATCTCTTCTCCTTGATAGTCAGATAATTCTTCTGCTTCTTCCGAGAAGGTTTCACGCCTTCTCGTTCGAACTGGACTAGAGGAGTGATTGGAGTATGTGTGGGTCGTGGGTGAGCGTCTGAACCCGACTTTGGGGTGACGGTATCCTCTACGATAACGGTCCGATCTGCTCATAGGGGACCGTCCTCTTGGTTAAGGGCTCGACGACAGAGATCTTGCACTAAATCCTCTCCTTGAGCTCGCGTCTGAGGAGTAACTTCCCGCTGACTCTCTCCTTGAGCGTCTTAGAATGGGACTATTAGACCTGCTGGAACTGCGGGATTTGTCGTTTCGGTAGCATAGAGATTTGTGATGCCCACGGCCACATTTGTAGCACTGCGGAGCTTCACATTGGGATCCTCTGTGTCCTTGTTCCAAGCATTTCCAACAGAAACGTGACTGTACCAATTTCCTTCTCTCGTAGGGAGTAACGACCTCATCGCAATCCGTCGTCGTATGTCTTCTTCTTAGGCAGAAGTTGCAACGAGACCCCTGCGTCTTGAGGGGTTTTCTCATGTTGTGAGAACTCCTTCGTGGTGATTTGTCGCTGTTAAAACTCGAGCTTCTCTCTTTAGAACATCTCCTTAGGGTCTTTCTTGGTCTTGGGCTATCACGTTTTCGACGACTGCATGCGACCTCGATCTGACCTGAGGAGTAGGATCCGTATCCTCCATCACTTCCAGCTGGTCAATGACCTTATCGAAGGCGTCAAGTAGCTCCTCAGCCGTCCAATTATCTCCTCTTCTACGCATCTCTCCGACTTTCTCCCTTGTCTTCTGAGGGAACTTCGATCTGATTATCTTCATGGTCGCCGTCGACCCAGGTTGCTCCTTCAAGTTGGTGAGTTGGACCCATATCGATTTGATTTTGCATAGTGTAGTACGTTGATCCGTTGGCGTAGGCTCTGCTGGTGGTAGAGCCTCAAGCTGATCCACGAGTTTGTTTCGTAGTACATCCGGTCTATTGTATGTACTAAGAAGAAGTTCGATAGCTCTTGGATAGTTCTCGTCGGATAACTGTACTGACGCTATCAGGTCCTTTGCTTTTCCCCTTAGTTTACTCTTAAGATGGACGAACTTTGAGGAAGGAACTAAAGTTGCATTATTGTGTATTGCTATGGAGTACAGTTCCCAGAACTCTGGGAATGCAACCATATCCCATCGAAAAATGGAATTTCTAATTTAGGTAATTGAATGTTATTGAAATAGTTGAAATGTTTGAATTATTTCGTGGTTTCTCTTTTTCTGTTTTATAAGACTCTAATTTGGTAACCAAAGCTCGAGCGTCCATCAGGAGTTCGTCCGGATGGTTTGCTTCCCAGTGGTTCATGAATTCCTGTAGTACATCGTAGCGTTTCTTCTCCTCCTCCAGCTCGGAACCATAATTCTCTCCTCGTTGCCAGCTGCTCTTCAAGATGTTCGTTAGATGTGCCAAACTTACCACTGAGTCCACAATCAGATTTTCCTTCGTAATCGTAACGCTTCTGTCGTCGCCAGACTTCATTCCCACATCCCTGATGTCGTCCAGGGCTTGCTCCACCTATCTTATCCTCTCCTTCAAGGCATTAGCTGCCTTCGTCATCTGTCCTTTGATGTATGCGCACGCCGACATCGTGATCGCTATTGTGACAGGTAAGCCACGAGAATTCCCAAGTTCGGGTGTTGACCTTAAAATCCTATTTCGAGATTGATTCGTCTTTCTTTCATGTCCGTGGCAGATGTACGCCGTGAAGGAGTCGTAATGCTTAGAAGATTGCGGTGTCAGCGGGTCCCGCTCGGAAATCCGTAACACCGTATACAGCGTTAACACGAACGACAATAAAAATGAAAAAAAGTAGGAAGGATTGTTAGCGATGAAAGGGAATTTACAGTTAGCAACGACTATGTTGTGAGTTTTACTACACTACTTATTGATTTTTTTGATACCTATTGACTGATTTTTGCCTATTCACATATTGTTTTTGATGATATAACTAGGCCCTGTGGTGACGAGGTAGTTGTTAGGGCCCATTTTGGTGATTTTGTTTTTGCTTTGGTGCACTAGTACACCCTTTGCCATAGCTATTAAATTTTGAACCTACTATGACATTGCCCATGAGTGGTCAAGAGAGCGCAAACTGAACTAAACAGAAAAGGAGATAAACCTACATTGAGCGGGTAGACCCATCCGAATAACACCTACCCTAACTACCTAAATGGTGGCCAACCCACATGGCAGAAGGGACTGAGCCGGCTCCCCTCGGCGCGCTCGTTACATGCGAGACTAACTAAGCTGTTGACCCGGGTCCAAGCCTACCGCGATCCACCGCGCAGTTGCGCATTTTGCCAGCGACGGCTAGGGCCACATTGACCCCAAAATTTAAGGCGCTAGCTCATACTTAGCCGCCTAGCCGTTTTTGCATACTTGATTTACCCAAGTATTGTACACCTAACTTCCCCTGCGCATGGACGCCTACCCGATTACCTGCCACCCCTAACCGGATAGGACGGCCGCGGTCGTTAGCGTACTTAGCACCTTAGTTGATGAACTAATGCCATAACATAACACTAATGCCATTACTACAGCGAGCTATAGTACAGAATAAAGGGATAGGGGACGCTGCTAAACCCCACGGCAGTGGTAGTGCTTTTTTTATCGGCTTTTGAACGCTTGCTGTTGCCGAACGGGAACGTTTCGCCGACGCACGATGCACCATGTTGCGGATCGATGACCGTGGGGTGGAAGCGCACGTAGCCTAAGAAGGAACGCGTGAGCCTCCTAAGCGCTGCACCCTCTAAGGACTTACTACTGACAGCTGAACTAAAGACTGACTCACCAATTAACACCTACCGCGTCACCACTCCTTTGGCCCTAAGGTTCGATAACCCCTACGACTGCGACGTATATGTTAAGGAAAACACCTCACAACACACTAAACACAAGATAGTTTAATAGTTTTATGTATTAGTAATTATTGTAAAATGGAGTTATCCTTGAAAGTTTAATAGTTTTATGTATTACTAATTATTGTAAAATGGAGTTATCCCTGAGCCTCATTTGGAATATATTCTCTTTAGAAAATCTTTGTAGATGTTGAGGACTCTTTCTTTTCAAGCTTTATTGGTGAGCTTTCGCTGATATAACAGCTTCCTCAGACATAGAAGAATTATAAGCATATCACAATTAAACAGCCTTCACAATACTTATAGCAAATGACAACTAACTGACCAGGCGGCTACTTTCAATTGAGGAATTCTGCAACCAACTACTTGAGACTGCAAAGTTAAGCTACAACTCGAACTAACACAATTGGCGACAATAGAATGATGACACCTTACCCTAGGACAGTCGCTAACCAAATGAAAAGTACTCAAAATGAGCAGTACGTGACTCATTTCACTGTGCTCGCATATATACACCGTTAACTTATAAATCTCATTGCCTCTATGAGTTCTTCTCTGTTGTTTATTTCTGGAGACAGTCGCTTGATAGCGAGTGCCTCTAGCACTTTTCTTTCCAAGGAAGCATCCTTCGAGCGGTGGAGCACGGTGACTTCTATGGTAGGAGGCGGTTCTTGTCCGTGGTAAAGTGTACGATGACGCGAAAAACCGCTGTTTGGATATGACGAAGGGTTTCTCAGCGCTCGTACATGCTCAATCCTTTTGTATAGCGGCCTCATGGTTTCTCCAACGTACTTGCGATCGCATCTTCACAAGTGACCAAATAAGCGGTCCCTTGTAACTGGCAGATCTTCTTATCCGTGCAGTACGAGCAGTTTCTTCGACCACACTTCTCTTCGTAGAGCCTCGATTACGTGAGCAAGCCTTTGATGTTCGTTGGTGGCGAAATATTAAGTTTACTTGGAGGTTCGATGACTTCACGATCTGGTTCACTTTCTTTGCTATGCCGTCGTTCACTTACGGTAGTATCAGTGGTATTCCTCCAGCAGTAGAGAAAGGACGCCATGGTCGTGGTTCACACGTGGTGTAGCCGTTCTTCCAATATTCTAGAAACCAGTTTTGCTTTGCCCGCTATCGCGCGCATCACACGGCAGGCTTTAGCGAAATTGGATGACCCATGGAATATGCATGAGATACTCCATTAACCATCTCACTACTGACCGTGTTAGACCTTCCCCAATTTCAGTGGAGTTCATCGAGAATACGCGTGATAACGTCTGGAGCTGAATTGGCATATTTATCTCACAACTGTAAACATCCAGCATTCCTTGAATTCAGATAATTTGGCGGTGAATAAGATTGCCATCAGTCTCAAAATCAAAACGAAATATGCCTATTTACATAAGTAAGGAGCTAATGCTTACCATTCATTTATATTCATCATTATTCAGAACCACGAAAGGATTAGCGGTTTAATGAGTTTGGGTTTTGTTAACATTCAGAAATGAAACTTACCATTTGCTGAAGACTTGTTTTTTAAAGTTTATGCAGTCGAATTCTATTAAGTAAGCTGGATATATATCGAAATAATGTGCACGTACCTTTGTTTGCCCTACTACGACTTACTACAATTTGTAAGTAGGAACGCTCTAGTGTCAGCGCTGCGTAACGGAATTGACGACTCTTCCTTCTTCACGCTCCTTATCAGCACTTCTCAATTGTTATCAATTTCTGGCACCCACCAACAATATCCCCTCCCCCCCCACATAAGACTTGTGAGTATGGTTGCTCTTGTGGCAACGCGAGCCAGGCAGCGGAATCGACGACTTCAGCGTTCTGGCGCGCCTTGTCGGCCCTTATCAATCGTTATCAGTTTCTGGCACCCACCAACAATATCCCCCCCCCACATAAGACTTGTGAGTATGGTTGCTCTTGTGGCAACGCGAGCCAGGCAACGGAATCGACGACTTCAGCGTTCTGGTGCGCCCTGTCGGTCCTTATCGGTTGCTATCGTTTCCAATCATGTACCACCAATGTCCCGAGACCACCCCACGTAGGACTTGTAAGTATAGACGCTCTTTTACCAATACGAATGGCAAAACGAAATTGGCGATGCTCGCTTTCTAGCCCCTCTTATCAGCTATTATCAGTCGTAATAGCTCCTATCACGTACCACTTGTGTCCCCATCTCACCCCCTATAACATGTGTAGGAACCACTGCGCTATCGTTACTGTGACTCGGCTATGAATTTCCGGTCAAACACACACACACCAACAGACACACGCTAGCCGCTTATATATAGTAGGATACTTCGCTCCACTTCTGCTGACTCTTGAGTGCAGATCCTTGTCTTTGTCGTGATAAGATTCCGTATCACGTTTGCCTTCATATACAGTGGATGACCACTGCGAGAGTGTAAAATAATACTCTTGGACACAGGTTTTCTATACCATACGTACTCCTTGGTGCCATGATCCAACCGAATCTTTGTATTAAGGAACGCGAGAAAACCGCACTCATCTGGATACTCCACCGTAAAGCGTATATTTGGATCACACGAGTTCAGATTTTGAAGCATCGTGTGCATTGCGGAGGTGGAGCCAATCACAAATACATCATCTATGTATCGTTTGTAGAACGCAATTCCCGTGACCAATGATCTTCTTTCTATGCGATGTAAGTGGACGACGGCTAGTAGAGGTGCAATCCTCAATCCCATGGCTAAGCCTCGTTTCTGTGAAAAGAATTCTCTGTCGAATTGGAAGATATTACACTTCAATGTAGCAACCAGAAGTTGACGTAGATCATCTTCCAAAATTCCGAAAGTGTGGACTTTCCGATGTTGACGGAGGAGTTCTATCACAGATTCGACAGCCTCATTGTTATTGACGTTTGTGTATGTGTATCTGCGTCAAAGCTTGCATAGCACGCATCATCAGGTATCTGGCAACGATCTAGGGCAGACATAAAATCTCCCACATTGACTATATGAGCAGCTACATGATTGAGTAGCGGCGATAGGAGCTTGACGAGAAACGAGCTTATTCTGTCTGACGGACCTCCACATGAGGATATGATTGGTCTTGTCTTGATTCGGTCTTCATCGACGTGATGCAAATCAACGTCTTCGGGGAATTTGTGCGTTTTGACCAATGCATAGTATGTTGGAATAGCAGGGAACGTCAGCAGAAGTCGCTTGATCGTTTTCTTGTTCATGATTTTGCCCAATACTCGCGTTGTTGTGTTTCGGAGTTCGCTAGATACCTTTTCAAAT